AGTTGGTTCGAGCAATAGCAGAAAATTGACGCACAAGAAGCGTTATTGACATACAGGATATACCTGCCTTTCTGACGCACGTTAAAGCAAGCGATAGCGCGTTCCAACGCACCGAGGGTTTTCATACACGCAGAGGGGTTCGTTACACGTATGTGTGTATAACCACACAGCATAGACGGAGCGGCGAACTCAGCACAGGGTAGGCATAGAAATGCAAGGCAAAATACAGTGAAGACAAGGAATAACTGAAACACAGGCTGGCTGAAGACCGTCTCGGACCCAGCAACTTAAACGCGTCAGATTCAGCCACAAGCCAGAAATACATTTCACAATAAGTGAAAAGGGCAAAGCAGATAGGAAATGCAAAGCCACAAAAAGTATACGGCAGAGCAAAATTAAAAAGCGCCAAGATGGAGTGGAAACGCAAACGACTGAACTGGAGCGCGCCTCTATACAGTCGGTCCAAGAGTCCAGCTCATTCTCCCTCCGTCAAATCTCGCCAATATTCTCGCGCTTCTTGCCCGGCGTCACCCGGGGTACCCCCAGTCCAGCCCCTGCGCGCGTTCCGTCCAGCCCGCCGGGCAGTCCGCAACCTGCCCGCCTGTCCAGTCCGCCGCCGACCGGTCCACCCCACCCCGCCCGTCCGCCGTGTCCGCGCGCCGTCCAGTCCGTCGCGCCGCGGTTCACGGCTGTCAGTTCGACGGTCCAGTTCCGCGCCCCCGTCCAGTCCCGCGCCGCCGTTCAGCTCACGCGCCGCTTTTTTGAATAAAAATGCACATTATTTCATTTAACGAAATACACTCATAATGCTACAACTTGTGTACATGTATCTTGAAATATTTCTAAAATTGCAGTTTTAAAAATTTAAAGCATTAGATTTTTTTATTTATACACAAAAAAATTTACAATCTATTTCTTTTTACAAAATTTAAGCTAAATATGATCATTAGTAGGAATTATTACTGACATTGATTGATTCTCCATGTGAAGGTATCTGCATCGGTACTCGCCTCCATCTACTTCTTCACTACTATAGCCGCCAAAAAGCAAGTAGTTATATTCTTGGGTTATCTGCAAGTGGGATGTTTTAGTAGGCTGACGGGTAATTGTTTCAGTTTATTTGTCTGGAGACATCTAATATGGGAGTTGTAGGGGTGAGGTTCTGGGGTTAGTCGAGGATGTCTGCACTATTGATCTAGGATGTTGAGGGCTAAGTGGTCTTGGGATGGTCTTTCAAGGCGCTGGAGATAGTTTTGAGCTGATAATTCTATCTCTTTCCAAGAACAGTGGGCATTTTCTAAGTCCTTGTGCACGTGCTGCCAATTTGTGATGAACATCCGCGTGCTGCCGCCGATCATGTCATTTACAATGGTCTTGCTGCGTCTATTATCATCGCTTCATTAACGTCTATTATTTTCGTAACATTCATTTTTATTCAGCATGGTATATATGTATACTGAAATGCACAATGCGGCAATTCAGTGTTAAAATTTCCATCATTTTCTACGTAGAATATATTCACAATCATCTCCAGTGTTCCAGTGGCGTTAGCGTAAGTGATGTACTTAATATCAATATCTCCTCCTGCTTGACTACAAAAAATTACTAAGCTTGCAGCCGAAAATGAAACTGGAGACTAAGAATGAGTCACATAGTCTCCAGTTGAGTAGGTGTAAAAATATTTCAATATTAACAAATTTGGAATATTCAGACGTTTAATAAAAAATAACACACTACGTATTTTGATAATACACATTTCATCTAAAGCATTTTTTATTACGCAAATAAATGTCAAAGAGATTTTAACATATCATAGCATGTAAAAGCACTCAATGTGCAACTAAATTTACATAGCATGTAAAGTGCACCCAAAAATATAATATCTTATTTGTTCTCGGAACCGGGCAATTTTGTCTTCTGTCATATTTGTGTCGAAAAGATTCTAAACCTGCCAATTATACGTGACACTACAGTACATCTAACCACTAAAATATGATCTTAAAAATGTATATATTGTTAGTACAAACGTGCACACACAACAAACTAGAAAACATAAAACATACTTTGAAGCTCTTGTCTTCTACATATGTTTAACTGAATATTACAGGTTACCAATCATGCAACAAGCAGAATATTAAAGGTTACAAATCAAATATGCATATATTTTGCTTGTTAGTGTTGAGAAAAGAACATATATTTACTTTAAATTAGCAAAATTACAATCCATACATTAACATTACGATATATTTACAATTAAATGTAAAAAATAACTGTTATTTGTTTTGATAACGACATTAAATATTAATTTCTATTACCATAGAATTATTAGCCAATACAATAACATGAAACAATTTTAAGTTATAATACAACATGCCATCTTAAATGTCCCACAAAAAAACGGGAAGTTGTTGACTAACAAATACAAAAATAAATTCAGAAACACACAAAAACAAAAAATACAGAGACACGGCATACTAACAAATGTAAATCATACAACAGAGAAGCGACAAAAAAAGGATCACTACAGCTTAGAAAAACATGACAAACCCAAACATGTATGACACATAAAAGACCACCCGCCATTTACACCAAAGCCACAACAATTTTAATTTTTTCATCAGCGGGCGGTCATTAATGTTGGTGAGCCTGTTTTGAAACCATCACATCTCCTGTTCTCAGTTTGGAATTTTTTCACGGCGACGTATATAAGCTTAACGAGCTACCGCATTCAAGCCCCAGCAAATTCTATTACCGCCTCTCTCTCGAACACAGACAACAAACAGAC